ACTGCTCCCAGCACTTGGAAGGCTGAGGCAGGAGGACTGCTGTGAGTTCGAAGCCAGCCTGTGCTACAAAGTGAGTTCAAGGCCAGCATGAACTGCAGCATGAGACCCTGTCTCAAGAAGTCAAAATTAAAAAAACACTGCTGTCCTCACCCTGAGCTTGCCGGTGAGCTCAGTGGTCAGGTCTCGGTGATAAGGGACCCTGCTCTGGTGCCCACCCTCTGTGGCCAATTTGAGGAAGGCGCTGCGAACACGCGGTCGCTGAATTGCGAAGCAGCGAGAGCACCCAAGTCACTGCCTGCCCCCTCCTCCCCACGTCCAAAGGGCTGCCCACCCACTGTCCCCCGGCACTGAGGCAGCTTGCGGAGGCAGCTCCCAGGAAGGAGTGATGGGGACTTGAGGGACCCTCTGCCCAGACTGCCCCCCTGAGACGGCCAGGGAAGGGTCCCCTCTGGCCTCCTGGCCCTGGGCACTGTGGCCAGGCCAACACCCCTGGCTGGCGCTGGGAGGGTGGGACCCCTCGAGGGCTTCGAGGGCACGGGATTGCTGGGGCTGGGCTCCCAGGTGCCGGTGGGACAAGCCTCGAGGGACTGGGGAGGCAGAGCCACCCTCTGCAGACGGGTGAGGCCTCCTCCATGAAGCCCTCCGGGCTCGAGGCCGGGTTAGGGCCTGGCCCTGCCCCAGGCGGCCCTGCCGAAGCCCTTCCTGTGCGGGTGGTGACATCCCGGGGCGCTCGCCGAGCGCTGTCTGTGCCTGGCTCGTGGGGCCTTCACCCGGCTGGTGGCCACCCCAGCCCTGGCCACCGCGGAGGAAGAACCCGGCTGCCTGTCCTCCCCTGCTCGGGCACAGGGCGGGGCCGCCGAGGGGGCAGCAGGCCCCCAGCCCTCTCCACAGCGCTCGAGGGACCGGAGCCGGCTACACTTACAAACAGCGAATGCTTTATTCCTGGGCGGCTTCTCCACCGCGGTGACAGCAGCGCAGAGCCTCACCCTGCGCCAGCCTGTCGCCCGCCGCAGGGGCCCGCGCGGGCCACGTCGGTGCCTGCTGGACGCACAAGGGCACCAGCGCGGGAGGCCCCGGGAGTGAGTCCACGCTGCTGCGCAAGTCCTGGGGACGATGGCTGGAGGAGTGACCCAGCCAGCAGCCAGCCGAGTCCCGCATTCTAGGCGGGCAGCAGAGGCCGCCACAGCGCCCAGCCCAGCGGCCAGGATCTCCTCTCCCCTGCCGCTGTCCAGTCCGGGCCCTGGCCCCAAGCCCCGGCCCGGGAGCAGCCGGGGACACAGGCTCCGGTTTGAGGCCAGAAGCGGCCAAGTCTTCCTGGAGCACCGCAGGTAGATGTGGGGAGTTGGCGAGGTGCCGGCAGCCTCGTGGGGGTCACCAGAGGCCCTGCCAGCAGCCTGCCAGGCAGGAGCAAAAGGGGATGACCAGGGAAGGTCTGCCAGGCTGCGGCTGGGCGTCCAGCAGGGTCAGATGGGGAGCTGGAGTGTCCAGGGCATCAGGCTGGGGGCGGGAGTGTCTGGCGGGACCGGGGTGGAGGCTGGGGTGTCCAGCTGGCTGGGTGGGGGCTGGGGTGTCCCGTGGGATCATGGTGGGGGGCAGGGGTGTCCAGCTGGTTGGGGGTGCTGGAGTGTCTGGCAGGATCAGGGTGGGGGCTGGGGTGTCCAGCACTGTCAGGGGGAGAGCTGGGGTGTCCAGCAGTGTCAGGTGGGGAGCAGAAGTGTCCCGCTGGCTGGGGGGGCTGGAGTGTTGGGTAGGATTGGGGTGGGGGCTGCGGCGTCCGCGGGAACAGGATGGGGCGCTGGGGCTGCCGGCGGGCTCGGGGTGGGGCGGGATGTCCGGCGGAGGTGGTGGACTGCAGTATCCGGCTGGGGCTGGGGTCCACGAGGGGCTGGGCTGGAGCTGCCCCTGGTTTTGGAAGATCCTGAGAAGCGGCTGCAGGCCCGGTGCCGGGCGCGCA